TATGTTCCACTATAGCAAATAAACTGAAATGAGACTGTTAGATAGCTTATAGTTATAATAATATCTGAAAACAAATTAGCTGTAGTGAAGGAAGTAGTGTGTTTTCTTTATCTAAATGAAAACAAGGAGCTATGCCTTTAAAAGCAGGGCATAGTCACTGGTGTTTTGATCCAGTGAGATGAATTTGTGGAGTCTAGATACTGACTCTAGTTGGAGCAGGGCATGCTCCTTAGTATTTTGGTACTGTCATTGTTCTGATGACATGGTCTGAGAATCACACTATATGTCTAACTTTGCACTGTGACTCCATTTCAGAAGACATTAAAATTATTGTCTACAACAGAATGTTAAAAATTAACTTTTGCTTTTTAATTTGGATAATTTTCTACTATTTTGTATATACATTTCTATGCTACTACTCACGAACTAGTGTTTTTCTTTCTGACACTTCTCAGACACAAACAAGTCTGCAAGTGACAGACAAGTGGCACGGAATGGCCTTGCTAGACATTGAAGTTTTTTTTCTCATGTGTAGGGCTTAAAATTCATTGCATTAAGATTCTATAACCATGTGACATTTAAAAGGTTAAAATTTGCATTCAATCAAATTCTGTAGTGCAGTTTTACATGACAAAGAAATGTTTTGTATGATAAAGGATGTTTGTTTTCACCTGAATTAATAGTGCCTGTTGAAGAAAACTGTGAATCTCTTGCAGTCACATGGAATGCTTGTTGCTGCCTCTTGTCTCTTGTTTGCTGTTGATACTGTCATTCCATCTTACAAAGTTCTTAAGGGGTTTACTGAAATTCACTATGTCACATTTGACATAGACATGCCTTAAATGCAGAAAAAGAACCCAAACCTCAAGCAGTAAACAAAAATGCTATTGCAATGCATTAATCTGGGAAGAAGCCCTTAGTTTTGATACAGAATTTCACTGTCAACCACAGCACACTTTTATTACAGCAAAGATCACAGTAAGCATTGACTAATAAAGGGATCTGATGTGCTTAGCTCTCACACAGCCTTTGGGCATGGCCCGCAATTCTGGTTGACTTGGTTACTCTAATGGTGAAATGGGAGAAATTGAGTTAAATTTGGTGTGCAAAACAATTTAAGATTATTGAATGCAAAAGAGAGAAATAATTTATTTTAAATGCTGTTGTATAAGTAGTGAGTCTAAAATTATGTTCTAGCAAAGGGTTGCAATCTCAACCTCTTTTGCTGTCTTTCTGTAATACCACTAGTAACCTTGAAATTTTTGGTTGAAGAAAAGTTAACAAACATTACTGATAGATCAGATCTGGAGCTGGAGTATAAGAGAAAGTATTGGGTTGGGTAAAAAGTAATTGCAAGGGTTTTTTTAATAGATGGACATACATGTCTTGAAGTGTAACTAACTTCATTTTAAAACATGAATTCATCATGTGACTTGACATATGACAGTTCAAGCTTGTTTTTGAAAAAGAAAGTGCATTATTTCATTAGCAATTACTTATTTGGTGTTGATTTCAAAATGGAAAATCAAAAGGAACATCTTCATTGTATTTTGCTGTATTACTTCCAAAAAGGAAAAAATGCTATGCAAATTCAGAAAAAGTTATGTGATGTGTGTGGTGAAGATGCCTTAAAACTATGACAGTGTTAGAAGTGGTGTGCTGAATTTCAGTCTGGAGATTTTGACGTTAAAGATGCACCATGCTCAGAAAGGCCAATTGAAGTTGATAGCGACTAAATAAATGCATTAATCAACTCCAATCAGGATTTAACGACATGAGAGATTGCTGATAATCTTAACATATTGAAATATAATAGAAACATAGACTCACAGAATCATGAAGATTGGAAGAGACCTATAAGATCATCAGGTCCAAGCGTAAACCCAGCACCACCATGCCGACTAAAACATGTCCTTAAGTGCCACATCCACACATTTTTTGAACACTTCCAGGGATGAGGATTCCACCACTTCCCTGGGCAGCCTGTTCCAGTGTTTGACCATTCTCTCAGTAAAGAAATGTTTTCCTAATATCCAATCTAACCCTACCCTGGTGCAACTTGAGGCCATTTCCTCTTTACCTGTCACTAGTTACATGGAAGGAGAGACCAACACCCATCTCACTATGACCTCCTTTCAGGCAGTTGTAGAGAGCAATAAGGTCTCCACTCAGTCTCCTCTTCAAGCTAAACAGTCCCAGCTCCCTCGGCCACTCCTCATAAGACTTGTTCTCCAGACCCTTCACCAGCTTTGTTGCCCTTCTCTGGACATGCTCCAGTGCCTTCATGTCCTTCTTGTAGAGAGTCAAATTTAGCAATGAAACTATTTAAAACAACTTGGATTTGTTTAGGAAGCTTGATATTTGGGTATCACATGAGCTCAAAGAAATTAGATTATCTCTTGAAAAGTAGAAGAGAACTACCCATTTTTGAAATGTATCATAACAGGTAATGACAAATGGATCATCTGAAACAACGGCAATGATAGCACTCTATGATAATGCTAGACTGCATGCAAATTTGGCCACTTATCAAAAATTGTTACAGCTGGGATGGGATGCATTACCACATCTGCCATATTTGCCAAACCTGGCACCATCAGACTACCATTTGTTTTGTTCTTTACAAAACACCTTGAATGGTAAAACCTTCACTGCTGATGAGGTTATCAAATGGTTCTTGAAACTGTTTTTCACCAAAAAAGAACTTTTTCGAGCACAAAATCATGAAGTTACCTGAAAGATTGCAAAAGCTAATTGAACAAAATGGACAATGTATTGTTTAATACTGTTTTTGTTTCCCATGAAAAATTCACCTTTCATTTACCCAGAAAAAAAATGCTATTACTTTTTGTCCAACCTGATAAAGACAGAATAGCTGGCAATGGATTTTGCTTATGACTGGGAAAGGTCAAAAATGTAAATGCACAGAGGTGTTTTGAGGGCAGAGGCAAGTAGGAGGAAATTTGTTAATGAAATCAAA